TTTAAACTTCAGGCTATATAGTTCATGCTCTCTGGAACCACTTTTAATATAATGGCAGGGCCATTTTCCTCTCTAAATTGCTTCTGATTAGCAAGTCAATTTTATATTTCTTAACCTTTCATGTCTTGATATTAATATTCTCCTTTAATAGTTCTTATTTTAAAGAAAGAGAACTTGCTAGGAAATTGAGAGTGTTCACAGTATCCCCACCTTTAAGAGAGACAGCTGGCCTGCATGACCCTTGCTTTTACCATGTGTTTTACCATGTGGCCTTTTCTACCTCCATCAATGATTCTGCATGTGTACAAAAGTAAGACATATTTCTGTCTTTAAGCGAAAGTCAAAGTGCATCAGGACAGTAACTGGGGAACCTAGGTGGGGCTATAGTGCAGACTCAGTAGCTGAAGATAGGAGACTTACAGTCCACAGTCTATTAAAGAAACAGGAGGATTACAGGAAAAGATCATCTCATCCCCTGCATATCCAACCAATCGCTGTGCTCTGTGGGAGAGGGCATCCTGCAGACGCCATCCCATCAGGAGGTCCATTCTGCACATTGCCAGAATCAGGTCTTTAGTGTGACAGCACTATCAGACAGGTGGTTTATTGATTGTCCTTTGCCTGTTGAATATGTTCCTCTTTCAACAAGCTTTCTCAGTGGAGACTTTTATTCCAGCTGGTAACTCTCTCTCTCTCTCTCATTGTGTGTGTATGCGTGCGTTGCTTTTATATACAGTATGCAGTTGTTCTGCGCATGCTTTTATTGTATTGTAAAACACTTTGGGATGCCTCATGGGAAGTGATTCATTCATGAAATAAATAAGAACAAAATAGCATTCAAATGAGATCTCCAGTAACTTGAGTTAATCTTTAGAGGAGGGTTAGGATGGAGGAAAATGCTAAATGAGAGGGAGTGATGTACATAGGTTTTGGACGGATGGAAGAGGAGGAGGAGGACTGATATCTTAAAAGGACATGGGAGAGTGGTAGTTTGTTAAGAGTTCTGATCTACAGAGCTACAGTTCCCAGCACCCTTAACAAACTACAGTTCCCAGGATTTTCCATGACTGGAGAATCACCACAGAGTGATATAATAGTGCTTCAAATGTATGGTGTGGACGTGACATTAGTTCTGTGGCGTCCTGCTCACTCCCACATGTTGTAAACAGTTACAGAACAAGATAGCTTCTTTTCAGCAGATGGCAATACCCAGCCAGCTTTTTTATAGTGTGCTGTCCAAGGTCCTGACAGACTCTACCATGTCTAAGCCAGGCTCTGCCATACCTGCTTTGGGGTTGGGGTTCAGTCCTCAGTTATGCCTTCTGTGGATGGAGGAAGAATTGAAACAGAGAAGAAATCTGTGACTTTTGAAAGATAGTTTGTGAAGCCCTATTGGCATTTCAACAGCTTACAGTGGTGTCTCGCAAGACGAAAAGAATCCGTTCCGCGATTCTCTTCGTCTAGCGGTTTTTTCGTCTTGCGAAGCAACCCCATTAGCGGCTAAGAGGATTAGCGCTATTAGTGGTTTAGCAGCTTAGCGGCTATTAAAGGATTAGCGGCTAAGCTGCTAAAAGGCTATTAGTGCCTTAGCGGCTTAGAAAAAGGGGGGGGAAGCGGGGGGAAATGGCGAGACTCGCAAGACGTTTTCGTCTTGCGAAGCAAGCCCATAGGGAAATTCGTCTTGCGAAGCGCATCGCAAACGGAAAACCCTTTCGTCTAGCGGGTTTTCCGTCTTGCGAGGCATTCGTCTTGCGGGGCACCACTGTATTTGTTTCTTTATTATAAAATAGTCACCTAGAAGAGATAAGTGACCAGAGACCAAATTGCAAACATGCGCTGGATTATGGAGAAAGCTAGAGTGTTCCAGAAAGACATCTACTTCTGCTTCATTGACTATGCAAAAGCCTTTGACTGTGTCGACCACAGCAAACTATGGCAAGTTATTAAAGAAATGGGAGTGCCTGATCACCTCATCTGTCTCCTGAGAAATCTCTATGTGGGACAAGAAGCTACAGTTAGAACTGGATATGGAACAACTGATTGGTTCAAAATTGGGAAAGGAGTACGACAAGGCTGTATATTGTCTCCCTGCTTATTTAACTTATATGCAGAATTCATCATGCGAAAGGCTGGGCTGGATGAATCCCAAGCCGGAATTAAGATCGCCAGAAGAAATATCAATAACCTCAGATATGCAGATGACACAACCTTGATGGGAGAAAGTGAGGAGGAATTAAAGAACCTTTTAATGAGGGTGAAAGAGGAGAGCGCAAAATATGGTCTGAAGCCTCAACATCAAAAAAACGAAGATCATGGCCACTGGGCCCATCACCTCCTGGCAAATAGAAGGGGAAGAAATGGAGGCAGTGAGAGATTTTACCTTCTTGGGCTCCATGATCACTGCAGATGGTGACAGCAGCCACGAAATTAAAAGACGCCTGTTCCTTGGGAGAAAGGCGATGGCAAACCTAGACAGCATCTTAAAAAGCAGAGACATCACCTTGCCAACAAAGGTCCGTATAGTGAAAGCCATGGTTTTCCCAGTAGTGATGTATGGAAGTGAAAGCTGGACCATAAAGAAGGCTGATCGCCGAAGAATTGATGCTTTTGAATTATGGTGCTGGAGGAGACTCTTGAGAGACCCATGGACTGCAAGAAGATCAAACGCATCCATTCTTAAGGAAATTAGCCCTGAGTGCTCACTGGAAGGACAGATCGTGAAGCTGAGGCTCCAATACTTTGGCCACCTCATGAGAAGAGAAGACTCCCTGGAAAAGACCCTGATGTTGGGAAAGATTGAGGGCACAAGGAGAAGGGGATGACAGAGGACGAGATGGTTGGACAGTGTTTTCAAAGCTACAAACATGAGTCTGACCAAACTGCGGGAGGCAGTGAAAGACAGGAGTGCCTGGCGTGCTCTGGTCCATGGGGTCACGAAGAGTCGGACACGACTAAATGACTAAACAACAAGAAGGGATAAGTGATGTTGCATGTACCCCTATAATTGGTGTGTGGTTTCATATTAATCATGATATTTATTCCTTCTCCCTCCCACCATGAGTTTCTTATTTTCAGTTTCAAGTTTGCGTGATTAGAGTGTTGTGGGCTTAGTCCTTCTCACCATCTTGGAGCTGGTTGGCTGTCATTGGTGGAGGGTTGGACCCAAGTCCCAGGTTTATCTGTTGACTGGAATAGGCACATGACAACTAGGTAACTGAAGCTACCATTCTTGTAAGTATCCAAATGGAAACTAATTACCATCTACATAGGGTTAGACAATATGGTGCCCTCCGGCAGTTGGTGGAATACAGTCCACACCATCCCAAACCATAAGCCACTTTGACTGGGGTTGATGGCAGCTGAAGTCCCACAACATCTGGAGGGCATTGCAATGGCTGTTCCTAACACAGAACACAAAGAGTTGGATCTTACACTTAGGAATGATATAATAAAAAAAATTATCAAGATGCTACACATGCATTCCCCTTAAAAAATTTCACTGAGAACAGGTGCAGAGGCTTATGAGCTCTGGTTCAAATTAAGCCTTTTACTGTAAGTCCATATCTCCCCCTCAGAGGAAATCAGTGATAGTCTTTTGCTGCAAAAAAGGAACCTCACTGCTTCTAAAGAATTTTCAGTAAAATGCCAGGTCATATTTCAGTCCGTTTAATATTTGGGAGATTAAATGGAGGCAAAATATTAAAAACAGCATGGGAATTATATCATACAAATAATGTGTAAAGCAGGAAAAAATTGCAGCTTATAAAGATGGGGTGCATCACAAATATCAGCCACTAGGTGATGCTAAAAATTCAAGTCTTTGCATCTTATTGAAGTCTATGAGAAATTGGGTGGTAAGAAGGCGGGGGTGGGAGTGGGCAGAGGAGGAGCTGGAAGCCGAACATTGAAGTCATTAACTCTGAGACTATAAAAAGACAGCTCCACAGTAAGTAATTTATAACAGCCTTGTCTCTTTGGATGTGAATAGTGCTTTTCTACTGTTATGGCACTGTTTCCTGTCAAAAGTGCACAAACACTTGATGCTGAATGGACAGGTGATCAGAAACTTCTGACAGCCAGAAGAACATATGCAGGACCTGAAGAGAAATAGGAAGGAACAGCACTGGGTAAATAGCTACAATTTTTCTTTAATTGTAAATGGAGGCTATTAGGATCCTTTGAAAAATGTGTTGTATTCATGAAGGGTTTTGAAGGGTCTTTCATAATGCAAACATTCAGAAACATCTCATTATTCAGATAGAACAGAAAACCATACAGCACTTTAACCTTGAAGTAATAGTGATCAACTTAAAAAAAATAGCAGCACCAAACCTGCTGTCATAGCAAACCCTTGAATATCAGTATATCTTTGGGGATGTGAGATTTTGCTGCAAGACGGCTGGCTAATGCTACAGTCATTTGCTGTTTGTGTCACAGTACTTGCAAACTTGAGAAGTACAAAGATGAAGGAGAAGCTTTGAAAGCTTAGCTTGTAATTCTTGCAGGAATTCAAACTTTTATGTAAATCTGATTGGCTGAGCTAATGAAATCTGGTCTTATAGCTGTTCTGTTCAGTGGGGTTCTCAAGACTTGTTCAGACTGAACATACTAATTTCTGCGGAAGTTTGCTCAGTGTATTTATCTTCTCTGGGATATATAGAAATGTGTCAATCGTGAGAAAAATAGGTGGTATAGGAAGAGAGATTTTGTATGTGTATAAGATATGGAGTGGGGTGCTGGAGTTCATCACCCTATTTCCCTCCCTTTCCTATGTTTTAAATTGCTCCTGTGCTCCTTGCTTTATTTGACTTTGGAAGCAACCCACATTGCAACTCTTGGGTCTGCCATTTACATATCTAGTTTCCCCTTTGCATTTCATTCCTTTTGTCACCATCAGCTCTGCTTTATGTCATGCTTTGTGATCGTTTGGCAGGATCGTCCGCCTTTCCGAAGAATGCATCTGCAGGACTGTTTTACAATAAGTCTCCCCGATTGAAAACAGCACCTAAAGAGGGCACCTTCTTCAGCCAAGATGAACTCATCTAATCAACCCAGCATCCCAGACCTTAACTTGAGTGCTCTTGGGAGCAACCTGACTGTGCCCACCGTCAAGACCAAGGCATCAACATGTGAGCAAGTGGTCATAGCAACGGAGGTGTTTCTCATACTTGGCATTGTAAGCCTTCTTGAAAACATCCTAGTTATCTGTGCCATAGTTAAGAACAAGAACTTGCACTCTCCTATGTATTTCTTTGTGTGCAGCTTAGCTGTTGCTGACATGCTGGTCAGCGTGTCAAATGCCTGGGAGACCATAACCATATATTTATTAAACAATAGGCATCTAATTATTGAAGATGTTTTTGTACGTCACATAGACAATGTTTTTGATTCGCTGATATGTATATCTGTTGTGGCTTCCATGTGCAGTTTGCTAGCTATTGCAGTAGACAGGTATATCACTATCTTTTATGCCCTCCGTTATCACAACATAATGACGGTGAAAAGATCAGGGCTCATAATTGCATGCATTTGGACCTTTTGTACTGGCTGTGGGATCATCTTCATCCTTTATTATGAATCGAAGTACGTCGTCATGTGTCTCATCACAATGTTCTTCACTATGTTGTTCCTCATGGTCTCGCTGTACATACACATGTTCCTTCTGGCTCGTACTCATGTCAAGAGGATAGCAGCCTTGCCAGGATATAATTCCGTTCACCAGAGGACCAGCATGAAAGGTGCCATCACCCTGACTATGCTGCTGGGCATCTTCATTGTCTGCTGGGCTCCATTTTTCCTCCATCTCATCCTGATGATATCCTGCCCTCAGAATCTCTACTGCATTTGCTTCATGTCACACTTCAACATGTACCTCATCCTCATCATGTGCAATTCAGTTATCGATCCCTTGATCTACGCCTTCCGAAGCCAGGAAATGCGAAAGACTTTCAAGGAGATCATCTGCTGCTACAGCATAAGAATGGTCTGCGGACTGCCCAGCAAGTATTAGGGGAAATGTGAATTTGGGTTAAAAGAACAAAACTTCTTAAGAGGCTCTCTAGATGTTGTTGGATTTGAACCTCCCAGCTGAATGGTTAATGGGCTGATGGAAACTGTCGTCCAACAACATTTGGATGGTCACATGTTCCCCATCCCTCTTCTAAACATTTTATTGTTCCATATGGAATGCTATGTCCGGCTTGTGATAGTGATCATTTCAGTGCGGGAACCTGAAATTTCTCTCACTGAAATTACTCATTTTGGACAGTTTTCCATGGGCTCCCATAAACATGAGTGGCATCTGTTTACTATATGAAAGCACTTAGGGTAGAGGAGATAACCCAGCACTGATACTGACACACACACACACACACACACACACACACACACACACTGACTAAATAACTGTGCAAGTGGAACTACTTCTACCCCATTCTCCTCACCCCTAAATTTTTTCGGAGGGTTCCCCCAACATCCTGGAGCAGATTTGAGGGTGGCACAGGGCACACGGGGTGGAAGGGAGAGAGAGGGAGGGATAGTCCTGTTGTGCAAGTGGAAGTCATTTCACTCACACAATTATTTAGTTAAATATTGACGTCTACCTATCTATCTATGGCATGTGTGTGTATATACACACCAGTGTGCAAAGGAGCAGAATCTATATTTTCTATTTTCCTAACTAGTAACTGTAAATATATTTGTTTCATTCCCTTTGCACTGCATGAAACCCTGGTGAGTTTTAAACCAAACAATGCATTTGTTGGCATTCTTTAGTTCTGATAGGATCTGTCAGGTACAGAGTGAAGAGTTTCCTTCACAGGCTCTGATTAATACTAGGTGACAAATACAATTTGCAAATGACAGCCTCCACGTGCCTCGGCCTCTATGAGGATGGCCAAGAGATATCAAGACAGACCCATACAGCTCTTCATGATTTTAAAAACAAGAACAGCACAACAGATGAATGTAACCAAAATATTTTCTTGCGTGGAATGCAAATTCTGAAGACGTCCATTTTGTTGTGTCTGTTACTTGTCGATAGAAACGTGGCTAAAAAGCCTGCTGTATAACTGTGATAGAAATAACTAGTCAGAGTAGACCACTGGTGGGTGAAGGAGAATGGATGGTCCAACTCTGTGGCCCAGTCATTTTGGTTTACACAGCCAGCACTGCTGTTGTGTGGCACAGGGAAGCAGGATGGGATAGAAGAAAGTCCAGGAGCAGCTCCGCAAATGGCATCTCAGTGCTGATCATTGGCTTGCAAATAGCAGCGGCTGTGCCTCTTGTGTTGCTGTATCATTAAAAAAGAAAAGTGGGTGGAGCAAGACCTCTGTCTCCAACTTGTCAAGCATAGGAAGCAGCTCTAGCTTCTGCAATGCGAATGTATTTTGGTATTATGACAGCTAAATTTCATTTACAGATCAGCTGCTCATCAGGTGCCCATTGACCTGTGCATAGCCCACTTGTTTTGATGAGATAACCTGTGCCCATGTTTACAAATGCACTTGAAGATACGCAAGGACACTTTTCAGTGAGGAAAAATGGTGGACTTTATGAGCCTTTCATATTAAAGATGCGTTAGAAACAGGGATGGTTAGAAACATTGTGGAATTGTAGAGTTGGAAGGGAGCGTGAGGATCATCCAGCCCAACCCCTTGCAATGCAGGAATCTTTCATCCAACATGGGGCTCAAACCCACAACCTTAGATTAAGAGTCTCATGCTCTACCAACTGAGCTATCCCATTTGAAAGCCCAAATCAGAAAGAAGACCTGCAAACATGGGGCTCATCATAGGCATATACAGTACTGCAAGTCTCTGGTTGCAAAAGAGCTCCAATTTTCTTTTTTGGGAGGATGACAAAGGTCCTATGATGTAGAGACCTTGACCCTATTTGCACAAGCCTATTATTTCCTATTGAGAGTATCAACAATCAGTGTCATTAAAAACTCCTACCATGCTCAGAGTAAATGGGGCATGAATTAAGCACCTTTAAATTTCCGCTGATTTCAGCGGGAGAGTTAAGCATATGCTGAAATCTCTTTTGAATTAAATAGGACCTAATGTTGCCTAGATTAATGTCCTAGGTGTTTTTTTTTTTTTTTAGCACTGCAGGAACTGAATTCCAGAATCTATAGAACACATCCATTTCTTCACCCTGAGTGTGTATTTCAATGTCAAATCAAGAGGATTATTACCTTTGTGATTGTTCCAAGGTCAATACTGAGAAGCATTAAAGCACATTCTCATCTACACAGCAACTACGCAGTCAACCTTGGGAAGTCATTTTAGAAAAATGCGGAGGAACAGACATACCTGTAGGCTCCATCATTCTCAAGGAACAATTGCTTTTGGAAATTATGCTTTCGGGGAATTGCAGTGTTTAGGAAAGTGAGAGGTGGGTTGATTTCAAGGCATTAGTCTTCCAGAAAATATAGTGGATCTGCAAGATACCTTTTTAATTTTTTTTTGATGTGTGCATTCATACATAAAATGCAGTAACATGCAATTAATAGTTTTCTAACATATACTTGAAATCCTCTTGAGCTTTCAGTACAAAGTATAAATCTCAAAGTTTCAGCAGTGAACTTGTTTTAGGGCAAAGTTTTTTCAGGGCCAAATTTAGTCTTCAGACTGCTTGTAGGTCTTGGAACCAGGAAGCAGTGTAGTATTGGAAAGAGCTTGATGAATTGGAAAGAGATAATTCTTTTGGTAGGGCTTTTAACTTTGGTTAAAAACTAAGTGATGGAAACTGTGGAAGAAACATGTGCATTATTGAATTGTGCATAAGCAGATTTGCCTTTCTATTGAATAATATTTTCATGTTTTCCTAAATATCTGACTATGCCTTCCATCACTGTGAAATTGGGAAAATGACAACGTTTTCTTATTTTCATCCCTGCAACATCTCTATGAATCAGGGTGTTATCTCATTCTGCTGATGGGACACTGAGGCTAGGGGATTGCGACAGCACAATGTGACAATAACATACTTACTGAACCCATGACAGCATAATGAGGTAATAACTGAAGTAGAATTTGAACTCATATGGATTTCCTTATGCTCAGGTTCAACTACACTAGAACTGTGTAGTGAATTTGAATTTTGATGAATGACTTTCTATGATTTTTTTTTAATGACTGGACTTGGTTAATTCTTACCATGCAGTCGTAAGGGTGGCTAAGGGGTCAAAAGTCAGTTAAACCACGTCCTCCTTTGTCCCTTTCCCAATTCTCTCTTTTTCTACATTTCCCTCCTACGTTTCCAATGGAAGGGAAATAAAAGGGTGATACAGTATTTACATTATCTCCTGAGCTGGTATAAATTTCTTCTAGGTTGGGGGAGTGGGATGGATCCAGATTCTTTAACTACAAATATTTCCACAGTCTTCCCCAACACATCCCCAACTCTTATATCATCTCCTTTTTGACCTTAATGATTTTGGAGTTCCACAGAAGTTGCCACAGCTGTGGAGGGGTGATGGGGCCGGGCAGAATCTAATACTAGATCTTCCTCTCTCTTTCTTCAGCCCTGGCCATAGGATTGTAGCCTAAAACCTACACAAATGCATTGTGGTAAAGCCCAATACTGATGGTAGTAGCAGTCTGAACTGCTGTGCCATGGTGAATTTTGTTCGTAGCATTAAGAATGGAGAGTTCATATTATTTATTGTTATATTGTAAAAAGCACAAGATGCATCCTATTTGTTCCATAAGGAAATCACAGTCTTCAGTGGGCATTCCATTTAAACATGATATAGATAATATTGAAAATTGAAAATTTCAGCTGGATAGTTTAAAAGATTTTGTTGAAATGTACATAATCTCATTTTCTCTGGAATTTTACTTGAAATAAAAATACACGTCTCTGATGTAGTTTTGAAATGGGTTGAAATGGAATTATAGAACTTTCCTGTGCTTGCCTGTGAATGATAGCACATCTCTGTCATTTTTAACAGTACAGTGGTACCTCTGGTTGAGAACGGGATCCATTCCGGAGGCCTGTTTACAACGTGAAAGGCCAGCAACCTGAAGCATCGTATCTACGCAGGTGTGTGGTGTGATTTGGTGCTTGCGCGCATGCGCAAAGCGTAATTTAGCGCTTCTGCGCATGCGTGAGCAGCAAAACACAGAAGTAACCCTTTCCGGTACTTCCGGGTTGCCACGGGATGCAACCTGAAAAAATGTAACATGAAGCAAACGTAAAATGAGGTATGACCATATCAGTAAGACTGCAATTGGCCTATTTTAGTAGGCTTGTCATCTAGAGTAAAATCACACATTTTAATTTCTCAGTTTAAATGCATGTATTAACTGCATTTTAAAAGTCAATCTTATTCTTGATTGCAAAAGAAATAGGATTGTCTCCAAATTTGTGTGAGTAGAAGGCAGTTCACGCAGAAGGCTTTCCCTTCTGCCCTTCTCCCACGCAGACCCAAAAAGTCACTCTCTGAGGCAGGGAGCATCTACCAAACAGTGCAGGATATTGTCAGGGACTGGCTGGATGACAAGGAGTGGTGCAAGGCCCCTGCTGGCGAACCCCTAGGAAAGCCTCAGAGAAGGAAGGTTCAGAGCACGAGGAATGGTAGTGGGACACTGAGGACAGGTCAGAAGATGAAGGAGGGAGGAGAATGGTGGCCACTGAAGAAGCAACAGGCTTGGGCGAGAGGAAAAAGCCAAGGGCAGAAAGCTGTTCAGATTCAAAACATGAAGCAAGAGTCCTGTCCCACTGTGTTTATGACTACGTGAGCAATCTCCAGAAGAGGAGGGGTCTTGGGGGCAAGTGTGAAGCAGGAACCATCAGTCCTGGAAACTGTGCTATGGAAGCTGGTCCTGCCTTGAGACTTCTCTGCGTCGTCTGCTGTTTTCTTGAATAAAGAATTAAACTTCCTGCTCATCTCTATGTTTGAGTGCTGACCTATGTCTGAGCCAGCCCTGACTGATATGTTGTGTCATACAGGGCTGAAGTGGGAGGGTATCCTAAATTGCCCAAAATCAGGCAGAGAAGTCTCATCC